TCGGGATCCCGGGCACGGTGCATGGAGCCCGGGCTCTGTTTGCATCGGGATCCCGGGCACGGTGCATGGAGCCCGGGCTCTGTTTGCATCGGGATCCCGGGCACGGTGCATGGACCTCCGGCTCTGTTTGTATTTTGGGAGCCCGGGCTCTGTTTGTATTGGGATCCCGGGCACGGTGCGTGGACCCCCAGCAGGGTCTGCAGTGGGATTCCGGGCACGGTGCATGGAGTCCCGGCTGGGTTTGCATTGGGATGGGCTGCATTGCTGGGAACCGGGACACAAGAGGCCGTGAATTCCAGGGAAAAGTGCAGAGAGCTCAGGCTGCAGCCTCGTGTGAAGGTGCATATTGGGCTAGTGCCTTTTGAACTAATTGCCCTGTTGTCAATTCCTGGTTTTGGAATGTGAACACTTGTATATGAATGTTTCCAAATGTTTTCACGGTTAACCAGAAAGCTGCATTAATTGAATTTTGATTGTTGCGCCTATCCAACTTATTACAAATGTTTTTCCTTCCTGGGTGTAATTATTTTCTTAACAGGCCGGTGATCTGGTAGAAATCATCCCGTTCATAAAGCTGCCGAAAGAAATTGGTGAAGTTATATGAAGTCGTGGTCCCGCAATGAGGGACAATTTTACTTAAATGTAAACTATTTTTCCTCTCAGGTACCTACCTATAAACACGGCCTGCAGCTTTGAGCTAGTCTTCACCTAAATTAGGAACAGGAGTAGGCCATTCAGTCCCTCGAACCTTTTCCACCGTTCAATGAGATCATTGCTGATCTGTGACCTGACTCCACATACCTGTCTTTGGCCCATATTCCTCAATACCATTGTTTAAGAAAAAAATTATCTATCTCAGATTTTAAATCTAACAACTGATCCATTGTCCTTTGAGGAAGAGAGAATTCCAAAGGTCCTACACCTTTTGTGTGTTGAAGTGCTTCTTAACGTTCTCACTTGAATAATCCAGCTCTAATTCTCAGACTATACTGTCTAGTTTTAGATTGCCCGACCAGTGCAAATAGTTTATATTTATTTATGCTGTCTCTTTAGTTATTCAGTTTCCTTATCTCATTGGTAGACTTGTAAATGCAACTAATGGTGGGCTAAAGATGGCTGATTTCAGCAGACACAACAAATACTAGTTTCACTCAGATCCAATGTAAAAATAAGAAAAAACACAGCTGTTGCATGCAGCCTGGCTGGTCGTCTTGAACTCAAACAGCAACTGTCTTGTGTAGCTGAAGTCATGACCATGTATTGCAGACACCCTACATTGTGCTGTGTGGCACTATTGTCATGCAGAAGGGGATAGATTGCAAACAGATCTAGGAATTCAAGACTGGGCATCAGACGTGCTATGGGCCATCAACAGTAGCAGAATTTTACTTAAACACAATCAGCGACCCCTTGGTCCACCAGACCCCCCACTCCCAACATTACCATCAAGCCAGGGCATCCACTCCCTCCACCATCAATGCTCAGTAGCAGCAGTCTGTTCTGTCTACAGAAATTCAGCAAAGATCCTCAGTCAGCACCTTTCATGCCTACAACCACTTCCATCTAGAAGGACAAGGGCAGCAGATACCACTTGCAAGTTCTTCTCCAAGCCACTCCCTATCTGGTTTGGAAATATATTGCTGGTCCTTCATTGTTGCTGGGTCAAAATCTTGCAATTCCCTCCCTAATGGCATGTGGTTGTACCTACATCATGTGAGCTGTAACAGTTCAAAATCCTAGAATTCCCTTCCTAAGGGCATTGTGGGTCAACCTACAGCACATGGACGGCAGCGGTTCAGGAAGGCAGCTCACCACCACCTTCTCAAGGGCAACTAGGGATGAGCAATAAATGCTGGCCCAGCCAGTGATGCCCACATCCCACAAGAGAATAAAAAAAATTACATTAGGTGGGAAAGTAAGTTGCAATGAAGAAATAAAAAAAAATTACGGATGGATATGTATAGGTTAGGTGAATGGACCAAAATTTGGCAAACTGTTTAGCGTGAATAAGTGTGAAGTTATCCATTTTGGTTGGAAAAATTTAAAAAAAAAAGCAACTTATTATCTAAATGGAGAGAAACTTCAAAATGCTTTAGTGCAGAGGGATCTTGGGTGACCTTATGCATGAGTCACTGAGAGCCAGTGTGCACTACAGCAGGTAATGAGAAATACAAATGAGAATTGGCATTAAAGCTAAAGGAATGGAGTATTAAAGCAGGGAAGTGTTGTTGCAATAGTACAAGACAATTGTGAGACCACTTCTGGAGGACAGTTTTAACCCCCTTACTTGAAGAAGGATATGATTGCATCAGAGGCTGTTCAGAGAAGGTTCACTGGATCAGTTCCAGAGATGAAAGGCTTGTTTTATGAAGAGAGATTGAACAGTTTAGGCCTATACTCTCTGGAGTTTAGAAGAATGTATGGAGATCATATTGAGGTATATAAGATGTTAAAGGGGATTGAGAAAGTAGATTTGGAAAGGATGCTTCATATTGTAGGGCCATCTAGACTGAGGGGTCACAGTTTTAGTCTGAGGGGTAGCAGATACGAACCAGATGTAGAAAGAAACTACTTCTGTCAAAGTATCATGACTTTGGAATTTACTACCTCAGAGTGCGGTAGATATCAGGACACTGAATAAATTTAAGGAAGAGATGGACAGATTTTTAATTATTACTGGGTTGCAGCGTTATGGAGAGCGAGCAGGAAAGTGGAGCTGAGGCCGAGGTTAGATCGGCCACTATCGTATCAAATGGTGAAGCAGGCTTGAGGGGCTGAATGGCCTACCACTGCTCCTAGTTCTTATGTTCCTATGTCCAATCTTTACTGAATGAAGAGTGCAGGAGAACAGACATATCTAAAAATGAGATGTCACCTGGGGAAGCTACAACACAGAACTAATTGCATGCCAAAAAAATATAAGCAGCAAGTGAGACACGGGGCTAAGCTGAATCCCTTATTATCAACACCCTGGGGATTGAAAATCCATTGAACAGAAACTGAACTGGACTCAGCACATAAACACAGTGGCTACAAGAGCAGGTCACAGACTAGGAATCCTGAAGCGAGTAACTTGCTTCCTGACTCCCCAAAGCATATCCATATTCTGCAAGGCACAAGTCAGGAGTGTGATGGAATATTCCCCACTTGCCTGGATGAGTGCAGACCTAACAACACTCAAGAAGCTTGACACTATCCAGGACAAAGCAGCCTGCTTAATTGGCACCACATCCACAAACATCCACTCCCTCCACCACTGAAGCTCAGTAACAGCAGTGTGTACTATCTACAAGATGCACTGCAGAAATTCACCAAGCCTTCTTAGACAGCACTTTTCAAACTCACGACCATTTCTATCTAGAAGGAAGAAGGCAGCAGACACATGGGAACACAACCACCTGCAAGTTCCCCTCTAAGCCACTCAACAACTGGTTTGGAACTATATCACCATTTCTTACCTGTCACTGGGTCAAAATCTTGCAGCTCCCGCCCGAATGGCATTGTGGCTGTACCTATGCCATGTTAGCTGTAGCAGTTCAAGGTTCACCACCATAATAAAGGTAATAAATGCTGGTGCAGTCTGTAACTTCTACACCTCTAAATTAATAACAAAAAAGCTTAACTCTACCTTGAATCAGGCCCAATGGCAGAAGTAGATGAGATATAAAATCCTGAAGAGTTTTGACCGGGTTGATGTGGAGGACGTCAAGGGAGAAGCTAGAACTAGGAGTCACTGTTCAAAAGCCAGTGGTAATCCACTTGAAACAGAGATTAACTGATTTGTTTTTTGTTTCTCTCTGAGGGTTGTGGGTCTTTGAACTTGTTCTTGAAAAGGTTGTGGAATCAGAGTCCTTAAAATGTTGAAGGAGAGGTAGATGGATCCTTATTAAGCAAAGTGATCAACGGTTATGACAATACGCAAGCATATGAATTTGAAAGTACAATCCGATCAGCCAGCATCTTATTGAATGAAAGAGCAGGTTCGAGCGTCTACCTTCTCCTGCTCCTGATTTGTGTGTTTAGCTCGTTCACTGAAGGCTGTGTGACTTTCTGCCTCAGAACATGGTGGAGGATATTGTATAATTAGAAAACAGTGGTAGACAAATTCTCGTTAGCCAGAGGAATCAAGTGTTCTCAGGGGTATGTAGTGTGGGGATGTGGAATTCAAAACACAAACAGACCTGCCATGATTTTATTGAATGGCCGAGCAGAATTTGAGGGGCTGAATGGTCTAATTCTGCTCCCATTTCACATGTTCAAATGGCAGAGGTTGGAGATATGGCAATCGTGACGTTTTTCTAGTCAGCCTGCAAATGGCAGAGAAATGTTGCAACAATATAAAGGGTAGTTTACAAGAGTGGCTCCTTGAACCCCAACAGGAGAGTTATACCAGGCCCCTCTCTTAACCAGACACGTCTACATGTCTGAGTGTTTCATAATGCTACAGGTACTGGTTGAATCCTATATCTTTCCGAGTGTCATATGGACAGGGATTAACAGAACGGAACTACAGTTTGAGCACTTGCACTGTTTCATAATCAGTGAAATGGAAGCTGTGTGCCTACATGTTCTGCTCAGTGGTAAGAGAATGCGCACATTGTTTCAAGAAAACATCCCTAGTGTGTAAAATCTGAACAATCACCTTGCTGTTAGATTTTACTGAAATATGTTCAGCAACATTTAAGTGCATTGCTAGGAAATTACTTCATACAAATGGAAGGACTCGTATGAAATAAATTTTTGCACCAAAGAGTTGAAATTTACCCAGCCTTCGAATCCAGTTCGATGCTCATTCTATCAATGTAGTCTCAATAGTGTTTGCAATGTAATTAATTTACAGCTTGATGTACACAAAAGTGTGGGGCAGCATAAATTTTAAATGAGTGGATCCAACTGGCCAACACATCAGTAACAAGATACACAGTGTGGAGCTGGAGGAACACAGCATCCCGGCAGCATCAGAGGAGCAGGAAAGCTGACATTTTGGGTTGGGACCCTTCTTCAGAAAAAGACCTGAAGCGTCAGCTTTGCTGTTCCTCTGATGCTGCCTGGCCTGCTGTGTTCCTCCAGCTCCACACTGTGTTATCTCTGACTCCAGCATCGATAGTTCTTACTATCTCTGAGTGACAAGATACATCTTGGTAAACTTTTACTAGTTCTCTTGCCTTGGAGTTATACAAAAATTTGGCAAACTTGTTTTCTCTGTTTAACTACTGTACTTATTCATGGGGTGTGGGCGTTGCTGGCTGGAGCTTCATTTATTGCCCCTCCCTAGTTGATCTTGAGAGGCGGTAGTGAGCTGCCTTCCTGAACCACCACATTTGGTGTAGATACTTGCACAAAGCTGTTAGGGAGGGAGTTCCAGGATTTTGACCCAGCAACTGTGAAGACAGTGATGTGAATTTCCAAGTAAAGATGGTGTGCTGACTTGCAGGGGGTGGTGTTTCCATGTATCTGCTGCCCTTGTCCTTCTAGGAAGTAGAGGTTGTGGGTTTAGAGGTGCGAATGGACCAGTTGTCTTCTGTTTCCTGATAAATGCTGAGCTGGTTCCATTGAATGTTTTGTTGATGTAAAAATACACGACAGAATACAATTGCTGAAAGTCTGGAAGCAAAGACAAAAGGCACAAGAGAGCAGGCAGCATGTGTGCAGATAAAGAAGGGTTAGAATTTCAGGTGAAGCCTTTTGCCAAAACCTCGCTGTTCCGATGAAAGACCCTTCCCAAAAATGTTAGCCTGTAGGTGCTGACTGGCTGACCGATTGTATGTTAGTAGCATTTTCTGTGCTTTCGTTTCTATTGGTGGCTGTCTAGTTGATTTGCTTTGCGAATCTGATCTTTGGTGACTACAAGGGGAATGGGTTCAGACCCTGCAGGTTTTGTTCTGGCAAGAGTATAAAAGATTTCCAATGGGGAATCGAAAATAACTGTGAAGACCAGGGAGTGGGGAGGTATACATGTCGGTTCACTGATCTTCTAGTGCGTAAACTATAAACTCCTGGGAATGGATATTTTGCAGCTCAGATTTTAGGTGATCTAATTTTTGGAATCTGAGAAGTATTTCCCAGAGTTTGAATATTTCAGTGTTCATGATATGTGTATATTACGCAGTGAATTTGACCAACTCAGGACTATCTTATTTGTTTAACATATGGCAATATGAGTTAATGTTATGACTATATGTTTAGTATCATATAAAGGCAGACATGTGGAAAGGTGCAGGAGAGATTTATTCAGATAGTCTCAGGGTGAGGGACTGAAGTAACATGGGGACACTAGAGAAGCTGGTATTGTTCTCTTTAAGGCAGCGGAAGTTATGGGGAGACTTGTTTCCATTGACAGGAGGGTCAGAGAGTAGATTTAAATTAAAACATCAAAGGATGAAAAATCACAACAGAGCAGTGCTAAAAGACTGAGCCAAGTTGAAAATGCATCTACTACTGAAACCCTTCTTTATACTTTTGCTGCCTTTATACTTGCCATGTTCTGCCCTTTAGTAACCATAAAGCTCTGCTGTACCTTGTTTTATAGCATTAGCTCTGTCAAACTTCACCTTGGTTTTAAAATTGCTATCATTGCTGTCAAAATCTTTCACCTTCTCATCCCTTTCTATTTCTGTAATGTCCTCCAGCCCCACAAACCCCTCTGGCCTGTTGTGCATCCCTGCTTTTAATTCCTTCACTATTGGTGGCTGTGTGTTCAACCAGCAAGTTTCTAAGCTCCATAATTCCCTCCCTGTACCTGTCTGCCTCTAACCGCACTTTCCTCCTCTAAGACACTCTGTGGAAACCTCCAGCTTTTTTCACCTGACCGAATATTACCTTCCTTTTGTTTTGTAACACTCCTGTGAAGTAAGTTGGGTTATCTTTTGTGTGCAAGACCTGTGCATATTTGTATTGTTGCCGCTGTGCAACGCTGAGTTTATAATGATGGTGAAACCAGAATAAAATCCTGACTTGTGGCCAAATAACCATGTGCTGATTTTGTGGCCAGAAATGAATGTTATGTATTATACTGTGAATCATAATATGATCTCTTAGATTAATGCAGTTGCGATGTGCTTTCTGGTTTTCAAAATACACACTCTGGAATTTCAAAACGTCAAGTTAATGCTTCTTTATCTTTTCAAAAAGTCAAAGTTGACTCATTGTTATTTACCAATATTGTTCATTCCCATGACTGAAGCTGCTGATTCTTGCTGAGATCTGGTGCCAGGGGAAGTCTCTACTTTCTCCAAGTTGTCACTGTTTGTGTGCCGCTCTGCACCGGGAGCGTCAGCCCGCTGGCTGTGTGCCGCTCTGCACCGGGAGTGTCAGCGCACTGTTTGGCAAAGTAGCTCATGCCCTATCCAGAAGTGAAGCACACCTTGGAGTGGATATAAACACTATTTCTTTTCCTCTATCCTGTCCCTGGAATGATTCTGAGGAGAGCATGAATTGCTGCCCCGATTTACATCAACAAAGAGCAGGATTTGAACCTGGGACTGCCAGGTCTGTATCAGCATTTTTAAAATTTTGAAATATGCTTTATTTATAAAAAAATCTTTATTTTTACATAGTCACAAATGCAGTTCAGTTCCGTACAGCAGCATATCAAGGAAACAAGCAAACATTGAAGTTTGACTCTACCCAAACAAACCAAAGGCATCTCTTCCTTGAACTAGACTGTATTTACATGCATTTGATGTACAGATGAGTCCAATAACTGAGTGGACCCCCATTTACCTTCAGCAGGGAGACCTCAGACCGTGGTCTTTCCCCGCGGCACCTTGGTGGCAGCTGCCCCAAGCTTTAGTGCGTCCCTCAGCCTGGATTCTGGAATGTGCCAGTTTGCAACACTTGGTCAGGATAGACTCCTTGCTCTGGAAGAGCATTGAGGTTCGGGCAGACCAAAAAGCATCTGTCATTAAGTTGATGATTGTCTCAGTGTTTGTCCCAGGGAACAGTTGGTGGAGCACAGAGTCCTGTGTCATTGAGATGCTGGGGACGAACCTTGATAAAAGCCACTGTATCTTTCTCCAGACTTCCTTTGCGAGGGCACATTCCAGCAGGAGATGTGTGTGACAGTCTGTGCCCCTGCAGCAGCTTCAAAGGCAATGTGTGGAGCTGTGCACTGACCGGGCGAACATGAAATAGTGAATAAAAACCGAGAGAACTGCGGATGCTGTAAATCAGGAACAAAAACAGAAGTTGCTGGAAAAGCTCGGCAGGTCTGGCAGCATCTGTGAACAGAAAAATCAGAGTTAACGTTTCCGGTCCGGTGACCCTTCCAGCAACTTTGTTTTTGAACATGAAATAGTGCCCTTCTCGCCACCAGCCGTGAGATGTCTTGGTGCTTGTTGGAAAGTTCTGGTGATGAGACATTCTGCTAAAAGACTTTGACAGTTTGCTCAGGGAACCACACATGTCTGGATTAGCATTTTCCTAGTGGTTCAGCTCACTGTGAAGGTGACACACTCATATTAAACCTGTCACCAGTCATCTTTCTCTAATGAGAGAGCAGCCCTAGGGTCTGATATGGCTGTGATGACTTTACCCTTTACTTTGCTAATAGGCAAAAAGGTGAAGTGCCCACAGAGCCATACGGCTGCTCTCTATTGGAGAGAGATGAGTGGTGGTGAGTTTAACCTGAGAGCCACCACGTCTCGGGCGAGGGGAGATGCTGAGGAGGGGAGTCCTTCATGGTAACCTCAGGCAGTGTAGTAATTGAGCCCTCACTGTTGGCATCACTCTGCATCGCAAACCAGCTGTTCAGCCAACTAAGCTAACCGATCCTGTATTGGCATAGCAGTACATACGCTGAACAATAACTTTATCCATCAGAATAGCTACCTAACTACAATCCATTTTAAAAATCTTGAATCTGTGTACATTTTGTCAATTTGTGTGAAATGATAAATTCCTACTGCCACTTTTACAAAAATGCCTGGAATGAGTGATTCCAGTTAATTGGTGAAATTAGAGAAACAGGGGCTGCTCTCATTAGAACAGAGAAGGTTAAGGATAGATTTAATATCAAAACCAAGTATTGAAAGTGTAAATAAGGAGAAACTAGTTTGAGTGCTGGAAGTGTCAGTCACCAGAGGAGACAGATTTAAGGTAAATGTCAAAAGAATCTAAGAGAAGAAGAGGATTTTTTTTTTGACACATATTAGCTGTTGTGATCAGGAACACGCTGCCTGATAGGATGATAGCAGCAGGCTCAATAATAACTCGCAAAAGGAATTTGATGAATATAAAAGTATTGCAGAGCTTTGGGTGGAGGAGTAGTGGATAGCTTGTACAAAGAGGTGGGTAAGGCTCGATGGGCTGATTGGCCTCCTAAGCTGTTACATTCTATGAATTGCCAACCTGAACTTGTCATGCTGTGGAATAACAAGGTGTAGAGCTGGATGAAGACAGCAGGCCAAGCAGCATCAGAGGAGCAGGAAGGCTGACGTTTCGGGCCTAGACCCTTCTTCAGAAATGGGGGAGGGGAAGGGGATTCTGAAATAAATAGGGAGAGCAGGGGAGACGGATAGAAGATAGGTGGAGAGGAGACAGACCGGTCAAAGAGGCGGGGTTGGAGCCAGTAAAGGTGAATGTAGGTGGGGAGGTAGGGAGGGGATAGGTCGGTAAGAGATTACAAGAGGGTTGCAGTGGGAGAGGGATACACAGGTCTTTCCAGAGGGAGCAGGGAACTTCTTTAAGGTAGGCATCCTTAGGAAAGGCTTCGCAGTGGGGTTAAAATTGTTACAGAGATAGTGTGAACTGCCGATGCTGGAGAATTTGAGATAACAAGGTGTAGAGCTGGATGAACACAGCAGGCCAAGCAGCATCAGAGGAGCAGGAAAGCTGACGTTTCGGGCTGTGGAGATGCTGCAGACCTGGAACAGGCAGAAAGGGTTAATACTGCCGGTTTAAAAGTTTTTCTGAAGAAGGGCCCCGTCCCGAAATTTCAGCTTTCCTGCTCCTCTGATGCTGCCTGGCCTGTTGTGTTCCTCCAGCTCCACACTGTGTTATCTCTGACTCCAGCATCGGCAGTTCCTACTATCCATGAATGGAAAGGTGGCTTCCGTGATGTTGTGGGCTATACACACGACTTTCTGTAGTTTGTTACGGTCCTAGGCAGAGCAGTTGCTATACCAGGCCGTTATGCATCCGGATAGAATGCTTTCTATGGTGCATCTGTAAAAATTGGTGAGGGTCCTTATGGAATCTGTATGCCTGGTCCAATTATGTCCTGCTCCTTAAGTCTGTTTCATCTGAGGATTACGCCTAGTCCTTACTGCAACGTCATGAGAGATTGACTCACATTTTGTAAACTCTTTATACTTTTGCAAACTTAGACATTGTCACAAGAGTAACTTTATGCAGTGTAACAACTTTAAAAATAAATCTATATGAAACAAAAACAAGCAGAGAGACTGTCCAGCCACACAATATTCTGGGTACACGTTATCTCCAACCTTTGAGCTGTGGTGCTTAACACCAAGCAGATTGTAGCAGGGTTCTAAGAAGGGTCACTGGACCCGAAATGTTAACTCTGCTTTCCGTCTATAGATGCTGCCTGAACTGCTGAGTTTCTCCGGCAATTTCTGTTTTTGTTTCTGATTTTTAGCATCTGCAGTTCTTTTAATTTTTTTTTGTTTAGACTGTGCTTTAAAAGGATCGCAGTACACTGTGGCTTACCTTCAATATTGTTGCTGCCCTAAAAAACTGAATTTTTGTTGAGTTGTTTTTTATTTGTTCGTGAGAAAAGGTTGGGTTAGCAGTTAGTATTTGCTACACCCTCAAAGGTACCTAAGTTAGACAAAGGACATGATCTATTTGGATTTTCAGAAGGCATTTGACAAGGTGCCGCATGGAAGACTGTTAAATAAGAATGGATCCCATAGTGTTAAGGGCAAGACACTGTCATGGATACAGGATTAGCTGAGTCGCAGAAGGCAGAGAGTAGGGAGAAAGGAGTCTTTTTCAGTCTGGCTGCAGGTGACTAGTGGAGTTCTGCAGGGATCAGTGTTGGGACCACAACTGTTCAAGTTATACATTAATGAACTGGAAGAAGGAACTGAGGGCATTGTTGCTAAGTTTACAGATGATACAAAGATAGGTGGAGGAGCGAGCAGTGTTGAGGAAGCAGGGAGACTGCAGAAGGACTGGGACAGGCCAGGGGAGTGGGCAAAGAAGTGGCAGATGGAACACAGTGTGGGAAAGTTATGCATTTTGTTAGGAAGAATAGAGGCGTAGCTTACTTTCTAAATGGGCAAAGGCTTTGGAAATCTGAAGCAGAAAGGGGCTTTGGGAGTCTTAGTTCAGGATTCTCTTAAGGTTAACATGCAGGTTCAGTTGCAGATCGAAAGGCAAATGCAATGTCAGCATTCATTTCGAGAGGCCTAGAATACAATGGCAGGGATGGACTGCCAAGGCTGTATAAGGCTCTGGTCAGACTGCATTTTGAATATTGTGAATAGTTTTGAGCCCTGTATGTAACAAAGGATGTGCTGGTGTTGGAGGGGGTCCAGAGGAGGTTTACAAGAGTGATTCCGCAGATGAAGGGCTTGTCATATTGAGGAGCATTTGGGGACTCTGGATCTCTACTCGATGGAGGTTAGAAGGATCAGGGAGCATCTGATTGAAACTTACAGAATACTGAGAGGCCCGGATAGAGTGGACATGGAGAAGGTAGCTTCATTAGTGGGAGAGACTAGGACTTGAGTGCAGGATCACCCCTTTAGAACTGAGATGAAGAGGAATTTCTTCAGCCAGAGGGCAGTGAATCTGTGGAACACGTTGTCGCTGAGGGTGTTGGAGGTTAGGTCATTGAGTGTATTTAAGACCGAGATAGATGTTTTTGATTTCTAAGGGGATCAAGGGTTCAGGGAGAAGGCAGGATAATGGGCTGAGAAATACATCAGCCATGATCGAATGGTGGAGCAGACTCCACCATTGACCCAGAGATAGTAGGAACTGCAGATGCTGGAGAATCTGAGATAACAAGGTGTAGAGCTGGATGAACACAGCAGGCCAAGCAGCATCAGAGGAGCAGGGTCTGAAGAAGG